GGAAAATACCAAGATTTCCTTGTTGACAGGACATCACATTTCTATCTTGTAAACAGAACCAGAATGCAAAGGGGGCGATATTTCAAATTTAAAAGATTTATCACTATTATATTACAGACATAGTCTCGACAGGAAGTGGGATAACGCCTTTAAAATCCGCAATAAACGCTTTGTTAAGATTTCTTTTTAGCTCCAGAAAGTAGATCCTGTTTGAACTGTGTAAGCAGAATTTGAATGCAATTGGTATTTAGCACTAATAATAAATAAACTGACGTACAATAGAAAGTACACACTTTGGTGTTTGGGGATCATTTTCTTAAAAACGGCGTAAATAATTTGATTGTGTAACTTGTACACGTCACAAACTTTGTGTACAAGTTACCAAAACAAAAACAAATACTCGAACGTAAAAGAATTACAAAAATAATATAATTTGACACCTTAATCCTGCCCCACTAGGAAAATCATTAGTTGTTTCCTTATGATAAGATTGAACCCCCACCCACTCTGTCAATGTCTAGGTATTAAATTTCAGACAATGTGCAAAACGACAGGAAAATGAAAGTTATTCCATTTAAGTTTCACGTTTTAACTTTTTCTGTGCTACGATATTTAGCTACTATTGCAATCGCCGAGTAAGTGCTACCTTTGGCAAACTTTGGCAAACGGAGTAAAATAGACTTGAGAAGTGCTGGTGATTTTGCTCTTTTTATCTGTTTCTCGATTTAATGTCGTACATATAATTCTCCCAGTAGTGCTTGGTACACCCTGTCCTATGTTCCTCTGAACATCATAAGAAGGTCTTCTAAGACTCCTACTAAGGAGTGCCAGTGACACGTGAGTGGGTGAGTTTAGTTTTACGCAATATTCCAGCTATATGGCGGCGGTCTGTAAATAATCGAATCTGGACCAGACAATCAAGTGATCAACCGCATGAGCATCGATCTACGCAATTGGGATACAATGACATGTGTCAACCGAGTACCTGACCACCTGATCCCGTTAGTCGCCTCTTACGACAAGCATGGGCTGCTGAAGATCAATTCTAACCCAGATCTTCACGGGTCAGGCGATTTGGAAGGCCAGGGAAGGACATTGACGTTTGTATTGGCGAGATAGGCACCTGTTACACGAGCTTTGTGGAAACAGCTCCCTCTGGCGGTTCAAAAGTGGGAGGAGGTGAGGTCGCAGGATTTGGTAGATGTAGTGATTTGCGGTAAGATTGAAACACCCGGATGAATCGGTCCTGAGCAGGAGTGGTCACTCTTGGTCTTCCACTGGGACAATCTTGGGTCGAAATGATCGATGCCATAATCGAGATATGGTGCTGTGGTGGACGTTGAAGTGTCTTGCAACGGCAGACTGAGACTCCCCTGCTTCCAAACATCCAATGGCGATATTTCGCCATTTTCGGTCAGTAGCATTCAATCTTGGCACTTTTTATCTTCGTTTAAGTCGTAAATTTCGTAATGAAATGATAAATTTGGTTTGACCTTTTATAGTCGATGTTTCTACTCATGTTTCCGATACAATGCACGTGCATTATGTGGAAAATCTTTAATGCATGCACTTTTCATGTATCGTTTATATTTTTTTATGACAAACGTTTACAAACATATTTTCGGATGATGTTAAAATATATCGAAATACAGCGTGAGCTACGGCTTATGCTGCATCGCAGTGGTTACGTCACCATCAATTCTAACCCAGATCTTCACGGGTTCCAGCGATAAGTTCTCAAGTCCAGATCATGTGACTATGTGACTGAAACGATAACTACAGTGGGGCTGTAATTACCGATAATTGTCCGGGGTTACGTCTAACCATCTCCATCACATAATGAGCAGTCGGATGAGTCACTGGTGGAGATCTGTCTGATGCTAGCAACATAGACGATCATTGATTACGGACATCGTACAGGGGAAGTCGAACCAGTGTTAAAACTATGTTGACAACAACAAGATTATTGTTATGGTTCAAGATTCAGTTGAACGTTTGCTAAAACTGGAACCTGATTACTTTGTTGGAAATTAGACAAGTTTTAAGTTTTCTGTTTGTTGTCGTTTTGCATAGTTTTTTGTTTGGGGTTTATTAGGTGCGTGCGTGCGTGCGTGCGTTTGTAAGAGAGTGATGGAGAGAGCTGTTGGTGTAAGGAATGTTGCTCCTTAATCTCTCTCCTCCCACATAGACTAACTCTGAATGTATATAATCAGAAACAAATAATCCCTTTAACTTGAAAAGGAGTCCCAGTAAAATAGGAGATATAAACTTGCTTCATTTAGGGCCTCAGTATCGAGGAAAGGGAAGGGAAAATAATGCGGATCAGGGACTGTGAGATAGACGAACTCACACCACTGTGCAGCACGCTCATGCAGAATACATTTTACAGGCGCTTCGTCGTTTATTCGAGGGACTGATGAAAGGAGAATCTCAAAATTTTTATGGAACAATTTTTGTCCAGTCAAATTATTCCAGCAATATGACTGCGGTAGATACCAGAAATTGGGTTCACATCTTGTACCTGTGTGGGGAATCGAACCCGGGTCTTCATTGTGACGAGCGAACGCTTCAACCACTAGGCTACCCCACAATCCTGAATGGAATGATGAAAACCCCAGTTTCATTGTGACGTTTACAGCTACTGGGTGCATTTCAATTAATTCTGATTGTGAAGTTTAAAAAGGCATAATTATTCGATATTATTTTCGAAGGGTTTATATATTTATGGATGTATAGGCCCAACCCAAACGTAACGAAAACACGTCTAGCGTTTCTTAAATAATGTTCAGAAAACAAGAACATTAAACTCCTGGCGAGGTGAAATGGGGTTAACGTCGTACTTGAGAAAATTTCGCTCATAACACGACGTGCAAGAGTATGTATGTGTGGCTGCTTGTACTAGACCAGACTTCAGCTGGCTTTATAGTGCTAGGTCACTGAGATATCATGCCGCAGTGAAGCATGAATGCCCAACTCAGACACATTAAACTGACTCAGAGCCGACCAGTCTTGAACCCATTAATGCCGAACGCCAGGCAGGGACCAACAAGTACCATGTTTTAAATGTCTTTTGGTATGACGCGGCCGGGGATCGAACCCGCGACCTTCCGCTCTCCGAGCGGACGCTCCAACCACTACACCACGGAGGCGGTTCATTAAACTCAAACTTTTCTTAAACTTGTAAGACAATTCTTCGAATTTGTGGAGTCACTTGAGAACACGAGAGGTGACCGCGGACATTCAACAGAACTTGCTCGAGAAGACTAAGGTTCTTATGACCAAAGATGTACATATTTGATAGCTGGAATCGTTTGGTGCATATTTTGTAACCCAATCACTGGAACAAAACTATGCACATCGAATATCCACTCTTCTACATGACATGAGTGAGTGAGTTTAGTTTTACGCAACTTTTAGCAATATTCCAGCAATATCACGGCGGAGGACACCAGAAATTGGCGTCACACATTGTGCCCATGTGAGGAATCGAACCCGGATCTTCGGCGTGACGAGCGAACGCCTTATCCACTAGGCTAACCCACCGTCCCCTACATGATGTGAGATGGTTGATTAAACAACACACACAAAGCTGGAAACGTACTTAAATTACTTTATTATTACAATACAAAGGTGGAAGAACGGGTAGACGTGTATGGTGAGGTGCCGCAGACAGCAGAGAGAGTAGTATCAGTACAGGAGCCCACGCCCATGACAGAATGGAGAAAAGCAAACGTACGGTGGTTACAGAGACTGTCGAACGATCACTCCTACGTAATATTTACAATCACATTCCAAACAAAACGCATCGAGATGTTTACAAACTAATATTTTGGGGTTACTCCAAACGGTTAACTCAGTAAAAATGAGATACATTTTGTCCTGTTTTGTTTGAAATGTTCAAATTGGTTACACCACAAGCAGTGACATACAAACATCATAGCAAGTAACAAAATTAAAACGAGACCCCAAAAATGTGAGGAAATTCCGAAAAATGGGGGAAGATCCTTGAGTCTCAGATATGCTCTCGTGTATGAGTTGACAGAAGGCGCTGTTCGTACACTGGACAAAAAGAAAAAAAGAAATGACAAGGAACCTGGAGTGTCACAAACATGGTTGCTACATGCATAGGTGCTCAGCGCAGAACTTTACAAAACAACCTGGCGTTTCGGACAGTCGATCTAATGTCTATAAGCACACAAAATGTGGGTTGAATCTGCCGTAGTAAGACGGACCATGCGGATGTAGTACTTTCCCGTCAACTCAGTTCCAAACGACACACACTAGTAGCTAGAGGTCAGTAACTGTATACACTGATATATCGAGAAGCAAAAAGATGAGAACAGTTCCATACTGAACACAGAAATTAAGGGACCGTTCATAATTTATGGCTAGGGGGTGGTGATGATTTTTATGGAGAAGCTTGTACAATGTGAATGACACCCCACTAAAATTTATGTACAAAATAAGTGACCCCCTGCATGTCATGTACAAAATCAATGACCCCCCCCCTCCGCTTCCCATAATTTATAATAATAATTTTAAACATGTTTTATGTACAAAATTGCTGACCCCCTCCCCGTACGTGTGTACAAAATTGCTGTCCCCCCAGAACAAAATGGGTGACCCCCCTTAAAATCATCATCACCACCACCACCACACCACCCCCCAGCCATAACTTAGGAACGGTCCCTAAAGCTAACAGTCTTATTGCTTACGAAAGTGTTGAATAGAATATCCCGACTATGTGACCATTACCCTTCCAAAGCAGGTTTACTCGCAAGCGAAAAATGTCAATTGAACAGCGAATTCTGTGCCCCATCTGCAAAGCGTTCGTAGCACTACGACATTCGTACGCCCATGATAAAGTATATACTATATAGTTTGGGTAGCTCGCTACGAAGGCTTTGTAAATCGGCCCCGCTTTCAGTGTGACCAGGTAATATTTAACTAAAAATGCATGAGACACCTTCTCTCAGGCGTTCTTAAATGACCAGTTGCACTTTTCCGACAGATACACCACCAACAATAAAGCTTCAAATGTTCTAACCGACGTAAACAGTACATAGAAAAATGGATATAACTGCTATGGACAAAGAGTGGCCGAATTCCCATCACATGTTCCACGTGTCTTTGTGGCGAAAGGCCGGTTTAAATCATATATGTTTTGTATCAGCGAAGTACTTATATCCAAAACTAAAACATAAAATCTCCAAATTGTATCAGAAGGACTGTCCTAATTTCCTGCCAACAAATCTACTCCTGAACGTAGTTAGGAAGAGTGTATACTATTCTGTAAATGAACCATGTAGGCTTTAACGTGTTGCACGATTTCGTGCAAAAAATGAGGCTTTAGAAAAAAAGTCCTACATTGCTCCGCACAGCCACTTGTTTCAAAACCTAGTGCATAGAAATTGCATGGGGTCAAAGTGCGTGCTTTAGAGACAGCTAACACTAAAACGCACACACAAGTACAAAGTTTTCCTCAACCTTTCATATTTACAATGAACTCGAGTACTTCCGTGAAACGCCCACTTTACAATGAAGTCTTTATCAATAGGCAGACTTATGTTTCCTGGTGCGTGTACAACAGACCCAGAACGGGTGCTGCCACAACATGTAGCGAGTTGTATATTTGTTCATCATGCAATAATACACTTCCAATCATAATCCGATTATAGTTTTGGGTTATACCTGTTCTCGCTATACAAACATGAAAATTATAGTGTACCTTGCCCCAGTGGAATGATTTCCAAACATTGAAGAGTACATGCTCCAAAGTGACTATTTTCTTGTCCTTAAGTAACAATTCTACAAACTGAGATACCATAATGTTAAAGGGCACTTTAGCAAAGTATACTGGTGTGTTTAAGGCGTTTAGCTTATTGGCAGAGTTGCAGGCAAAGATTGGCCATGGTTTCCGGTGCTGTAGGCGATCTACATGTCTATGACGTCAGTGATCACGTGTGGGGTGGAACGATGAGTACCTTTAGATAACCATTTGGATCGTCATTTACAGATCATAAATACACGACGACCAATGAAGCACCAAGAATGTAGAAATGGCAAAGAATTGTGTCCAGTAAACAAAGTAGTTCCTTTCACAACAATATACATGCGCCCTTCTTCTTCTTCCGAACCTGCAAGGCAGCTCTGGTGGCTGTTTCAAAGACTTCCCTCACTCCCTCCTTGGTTTTGGCCGAGCACTCGAGGTAGGCGTAAGCACTGATCTTCTCAGCCTGGGCGCGCCCTTCCTCTGGTCTCACTGGCTCCTGCTTCATTTTCATCAGCTCTCGTTTGGTGTTTTCGTCGTTGCGCAGATCTTTCTTGTTCCCGACAAGGATGATGGGGACATTGGGGCAAAAATGGCGGACTTCCGGTGTCCACTTCTCTGGAATATTCTCTAAACTGTCGGGGCTGTCGATGGAAAAACACATAAGGATGACATCTGTATCTGGGTAGGACAAAGGCCTTAGTCTGTCATAGTCCTCCTGTCCAGCTGTATCCCACAACGCCAGCTCAACCTGAGAGAAGAAAAAAAGAAAAACTTGTCACAAAGAAGTCCACAAAAGAACAAACACCCTGTCGGTAACGTTCAACACAACGGTCATATCTTCGGCATGAGTAACATGCCAACTGAAAACTCACATATCCGTTGATAAATACTCCTAACGTTTAAGGTCAGGTGAAATGGGGTTTAACGTCGTACGTAAGAATACTTCGCGATATGACGGCGAGCATGTGTGTGTATGCGTGGCTGCTTGTACTAGCCCAGACTTAAGCTGGTTTTATTGTGATAGCTCACTGAGATACCATGCCGCAATTAAGCATGAATACCCACTCAGACACATTATACTTACTCCGAGCCGACCAGTCCTTGATGAACCCATTAAGCCGAGCGCCAGGCAGGGACCAACAAGTACCATATTTTAAGGTCTTTTGGTATGACGCGGCCGGAGATCGAACCCGCGACCTTCCGCTCTCCGGAGGGACGGTCAAACCATTACACCACGGAGGCGGTCTCTACCGTTTGAAATACAACTCTGTCTTACAATGGGAAGATAGATAACGCCTCGAGTAGCAAGTGTGAAAGAGAAAGTAATGATGTGTTTGTGGATCCTGGCTCACCATCAAGGGCATTGTTTTTCAAAGTAACAGTGTCACCACGACTGACATTGGTAGCACTACGATCGCTTGGCTCTAGAAAGTGATGGAGAACTTGCGGAACATAATTTTATTAAATATCCAGGACTGATTGCCTAATATGGATATCATTACTATTACAAGGGACACAGTGACTCATAATAATCTATATATACCTAGGGGTGACTGTTGAGGGGGAAGCAACAACTGCAAGTTATTCTTCTCTTTGAATTGTCTCATTTGAAGTCACTTCCCAAATGATTGTATAGTTTATATGAAATGTAAATACGCTGAAGTAGTTTCAGTCTCTTTTAATAATTGACAAGAAACTTATAACCCAGATCAAGTACAGAGTTAACATATAAACCCAATGAAGCTGCAAGTCTGCACCCAAACATCCTGTATTTTGCGCTGCGCCTTTATCAACGGTAGTCAGTAATACTATCATGCATCGATAGTTTTTTTTTCTACCATCGATTAATTGGTATTGGAGACTCGATTGCAATCCATCGATAGTTCGATGCATCGTTACAGCCCTATATATACACCAATGTAACTGATCGTATTGGCCATACTGAGACATCAGGGGTCCGATTTACAAAGCGACTGATGAGCTGAGGGGGAACTCCGATACTTAAAACACCAAACGACAGCCGTAGTACAGCCATTGTTTTTGTTGAAGGGGACTGCTAAGATGAATATTGATAGAATATCATAGTTACTCATGTGCGGTTCATGTTCAGGTGTCACCATTCATTATAGTCGACTATTATTTTGCTTTCACGAAATCTATGAGGTCTGTCCATTCAGAAATGTTTGAAGCAATATCTTCATGGGGTTTTTTTGTGCCGCGTTCTGGGGAAACTCGCTCACTTTCTTAGTAGTGGAGCCGGAGTTTGATGAAACGTCAGGGTTCCTCTTGGGTTCAAAGGACATCCAAAAGCAGTTGGAAGATTGGTAACGGTGGCATTTGCGTAAGGTCATCCAAGACATACGCAGTTGTTTAACTTGTACAAAAGCATCATTTACCCGTCAAACGTTGGTCCCTGTGCTCATAGATTGGTCAGATGCTTATCAATAAATATCATGCTTGTTCTTAACTTCTCAAAATATGTGGTCTGTAAGTGTAGGATGAGGTTGCTATGGCCCTACGGGAACTTTGTCTTTAGAAACAGAACGCTTTGACCATGGGAACCAGTCACATTATGAAGCCAAGAAATATTTCAGAACATCTTATCAAAAGCGTTAGTTTCACACCAAGAGAAACCATACTAAAATATCTATTAAAGAAATTCCATTAAAGGAATTGTCAAAATTAAAATCCCTTAATTGTGTACCATGCATATGGATTGGTTCATACTCAACGGGAAATACTAAACGGTTCATCTCACAATATATTATTGTTTTCAATTCCCACAGTAATCAAATGGACACGGTTGAGATTGTGACAGGCTAAAAACACTAGAAAGGTTCAAAAAGCTTCTTCCTACTTAACAGACGCGTTTGTAAACCTCAAACTTGTGCTGAATAACTACCCCCGAGAAGGTCGATTAACTGTTTTGTTTATTTATTCTATCAATTTGGGCTAATCCAGTATACAAAGGAAACAAGTTTCAAATGCTCATTATACATCGTACGCATACCTTCTTGCAGATAACAGGATTAACTTTATTCTGAGCATTTGACTCGAGTTTGTGCATGCAACGTACTTTACATGTTTCAGGCACACGATATCCATAAACGATGTTTATTATTTGTAGTTTATTTTCAAGCTCAGATAGTGAGTTAAATGTCTGCATACTACTCACTCAGAATTTCAATATAACACGTATTTACAAACATTTTCAAAAGCATGTTAGCAGTGAATGAAATAAGCCAAAACCCCAGCCAGGCATCAGGGCTGGTAACTTCAAAATGTTACCAGTCCAAAATGGATTTAACCAGACACCAAGATATGACTCAGATGTGTGTAACATCTACATTTTTACCAGACCATCGGGCTGGCTAGCTAGCTGTAAAACTTGACCGTCCGTCTCAAATCTAACCGGTCTCGGGCGGTCGGGCGGGCCTTATTTCATAAACTGATTTTAGACCTTATTTCCCACTAAAGCAAACGTTTTCACTTGAGTTAAACTCACTTCAACATTTTATGAAAATTTGTAATTTGCTTCAGGAACTTAATCCCCCCACTTTCCAGGAACCCATCCTATTATGAAAGCAAAAACTTGGCCACTACTTAGTACGACTGGTTATACAGGATTGTAATGATCTTATTCTACCTGTCAAAACTGTTTGAGACAAATAGGCAATTATAGCCAGGGCTAGCAGTGTCTGTCTTCAAAAATGAAGAGAAAATTTGAGGTGATGAACAATGACTTATGGGTATATTGTGGTGTCAAGTAGCACAAGTTCCCTTGAGGTAGAAAATCAGCTGATAATTCTCATGACTGGATACCCATGGACCATCCAGCAAAAATGGACAGTGCTAATCAAAATGTCAACATATACAAATTTGATCTGCAACAGCATAAACTGTTTGTTAGATATTATGAGAAAAATTGTTTAATGATCTCTTTATAGTTTTGTTTTCCTACTTCAGTAGTTTCTTCCACATCAGACATTACATTATCATGCAACTTGTTTAAACTGTTATCTTGCAAGACTTCTACCATATTCCACTTACAGCTATTCCTAAATGCTTTCTCAGGCTGAAAAGATTAAACAAAGAAACAGCTTATTTCCGCAAGGTATTTATTAACTTTATTCATATAATCAGTTACAACTAACACTTAAATTTGTTAGTTAATTCGTTTATTTTAAATAAATACAGGTGTTTTGTTCTTTTTAAAATGGCATAATCAATGTAATGCATTTTTCAAAGTAGTATTTCATACAAAAACACCCACTTGTAACATGGCACCTGTTGATCTGAAGATTTGAAATTACTCAGAATAGAGTTAAAAGAAAAAAAGAAACATCTTTGACAAATTCCCAGACATTGCATGATGTGCCAAACTTAAGATGTTTTGTATATTTTATGCAAATGCACAACCAATCAACATAACCCAAAGGAGTTGCTTGTGTAAAATTAACCTTGAAAGAATTATTTTGTAAATCCAGCCAATAACACTGAATAATTACTGTGGACTTCCTTGCTTGCATACCTAATATATTTACCAATTTGTATTTACTGATAAGACTGCTGGCATCGCATGTAGTGCATAATGTACAAAAAGAATATCTTGTATCATGTTATGACCAAAGCCTGTACCACAGTTGTAAGCTTCATGTAGGTTTGGGACAGCACAAAAACAGGAGAAAATTAGTTCCCCCAAAAAATGTTTGAACAATTTTAAAACACATATACTCAACTTCATCCTAAAACGTAAAAGCATATTGAATACACCCTCCCCTTTTCAAAACCAAATTTCCCAGTGTAAATTATTACATGCATACATACTGAACGATTACATTTTGAGGCCTTGAATTGAGACTATTATCCAGTGGTCAGAAGCAACATTATGAAGTCATGCAGTCTTGTGGAACTGAAAATTTATATATATCATCTGTCATGGTTTACTCCACTGTAAAGTATCTTAGTAAAACTTAACAAATCAAAAGGCAATTCACACAAAAACTGGTTGAAACCTATGAATTGGGGGTGTACCTCATGCATTAATGTACAGGCTACTTAGATAAACTTACTTAAATTTCTCTGATAAAACATGGTAGATTACATACTGGTGAAGAGCAAAAAGTATGATTGCAAGAGCAAAACAGGATATTTTCAGATCTCAAAAACAAGCATTTAAAGACATTTTCAATGTTCTGTAAGTTAACATTTTTGTCCAATAAAAACATTAGGATTTTATATTTTGAGCATGGAAAATTAATTTTTATTTTTCTTCTTGAAAACATACAACCGGCGGATCCGTAAAATAAGAAATAAAATTGGTCTGGCCTAACTTTTAAGTTTTGAATTATGATGTTGCAAAACAGTGATACAAAGATTGCATCTAGAGTGGGCAATTTAAGTTTTGGGACGATTCACCTGCTATGTACCTCTTTGGGAAGAAAGGCATAATGGTTTAAATGACGTGGTACTGAATTAGATTTCCAGTGTTCATTCTAGACAGTGCCCATAAGTCGTACTAACATTTAACATGGTTCACTGTCCAGGTACGGACGGGTCGTGTTAGCGCATCCATAAATGTAAATCTGAAACGCACGCAAGCAAAACTAACGATGTAGGTCTTGGAAAAAACAAAAACAATACGCCTGACTCGATTGCAACCTTTTGAAATGTAAGTAAACTCATACTAGTTATTAGAACTCACAAGTCACAGCAATTTGACATGACCAATTATATTTTCTAAATTACCCACAAAACTGAGCTGTTGGGCCATGGGCCCACTTTTGGAAAGGTTGCGCAGAACACTGGATTTCCCCCAAAACATTTCTTAGTAACCCTCCAAATCTTATGTCTCCTTGTACATATTTTCCTTACAGGAAAACAATTTATGTTTGGCGCACCCTCTTCATTCAGAAATACCTTGTTATAATCTAATATCCTCAGATCTTAGTTTACACAGTGGTATCTCTTCTCAAGATATTGTACCAGGAAATTGTACATTCACACTGAACACAATCATTCTGTATCATGTGTGGCAGTCAAAAACAAAAAGAAAAGGCAATAATCTCCAATCAAGTAATGTATTTATTATAGACAAAAAATGTTAAGGTTATAAGATCAGTTGTAAAATGGCACTCATTTCATTTTGTCTTCAATATGTCTAATTTCTGAGATTTCAAGCTGTAGGGCTAGCCTGCTTCATTGCAGAACAGTACTCTCTACCACCAAGAACAACGCTGAGGAAACCCAGCCATGATCAGAGAGGATGCATCTACCTACTGGTTATGAATTGCATAAATGCATGAATGAATAAACTCCCAAGACAATATGAAAAGGATTTATTCACAGTCATGATCTAGATAATAAAGTAGTATTAAACATAGCTTATAGACAAAAGACATACACAACTACATGTACAGAGAACCAGGCAAAATGATGAGCTAGCAAGAATATGAGAATACAAGATTAGGCGATTCATGACCAATACACAGTTTATCTGATTTTTCTTGCACCTTGCAGCAAGTTGCACATTAGGACATATAGCTGATAACAACCTTGGCATTTGCCACTATTCTCACACCATCTGCCTGCCTCTTGATACCAAATTCAAAGTACAGTTCATAAACTGTTTTCCGTATGTCAGCTTTTAAGTTGAAGAGAAGATTACTCCAGTAAGCATCATATGTACTACAAGGCAAATAAATGTGGAAAAATACTTTGTTAAAATACTACCTCAGTTTCTAAGGCCGAGTAATTGTGATCATATCCAGTGGACAGGGGGGTGAGAACACGGAACATACAACCGTTTACATACTTTCCTTGATGACTCATATACACCATCAGTCTGTAATTAGAAACAAACTCATGCACTTGCGTTTGCTTTTTTGATTCACACATTCTGGAGGCAGGGAGGGGGACGAGGTGGGGGGGGGAATGAAAGGTAAAATGGAATTTAAATGCAGCCACGGGCAAAGTAAAGAGACTGACAGCAAATGCATCCATACATCACTGGGCCTTGACAAGTAACATAATACTCGCTCTCCAAGTCAGTGTGTTGATAGGCAGATCCATACTCATCAAGCAAATAAGGGAAGAGATCCCCAAAGATAATCTCTATCAGTCCTGCTGGGAAGCTGGTGACATTCAATACAATGATAATGTACACCTGAACAACCAACACTGGCACAGTAGCTTGCGGCAGCTGTCAGCCCCGGGATATGGCAAGGCTGAGCCTATGCTGCCTGGAAATTAAACCTCCTGTCTTAGCAGTGAAGAAATCGGCTGAGCGGTTGTGAAATATTACATAGGACTGTCACTTTGCCATCTGCCTCCAGCTCACATAGACAGTTGTGTAAGGTTGGCCACTGAATATCCGCTGAGCCTGGCTCTACACTGGAAAGAAAGAATTGCGCATACATGTGTGATGTCCAGCTAATGTTGGTTCCTCCTCCCTGGCAGACGTGCCTTTCCCATGCAGGTTGTTGCAGTTCCAGAGGTCTAAAGCAAGGTGCACTTGCCCTTCCTCTTCTTCTTTACTTGCAAGGCAGCTCTTGTGGCTGTTTCAAAGACTTCCCTAACCCCTTCCTTGGTCTTGGCAGAGCACTCAAGGTAGGCAAAAGCACCTATCTTCTCTGCCATTGCACGGCCTTCTTCTGTTTTAACTGGTTCTTGTTTCATCTTGGACAGTTCTCTCTTAGTGTTATCATCATTCCTGAGATCCTTTTTGTTGCCTACTAATATGATAGGTACATTAGGACAGAAATGCTTCACTTCTGGTGTCCACTTCTCTGGAATATTCTCTAAACTGTCGGGGCTGTCGATGGAAAAACACATAAGGATGACATCTGTATCTGGGTAGGACAAAGGCCTTAGTCTGTCATAGTCCTCCTGTCCGGCTGTATCCCACAAAGCCAGCTCAACCTGAAACACAAAACAATTATCATTGAAAAATAAGAAAATTGTCTTACCCTTCGGTGTAAAAACACTAATGACTTTTAATACTGACAGATTCTTGATGATTGACGATTTTCATTTACATTCATGTAAAAATGATTTTTCAATTACTTGTACCATGGATATTAGTTATTTTATTCTTTCTTACTGAACTAAATGTATATGAATACAGTAACATTCTTATGGAAAGTGGTGAAACAGATCAAGGAAGGAACAGTATCTGGTACAGGTTTTCTCCATGCCGTGCACTTTGGTAGATGTTGATGCAATTATAAAATACAGAACAAGGATTCTGCCTTGGAGAATGACTCGCAAACATACAGAAGAGAATGGCATATTTGCTACAAGATGAAATCCCATAAATGACACAAATATATTGTTAGTATCAGTATAACTATTTCATCCCAACACTGATTCAGATTCAAACGTCCAGCTACTGCCCTTTTCTTGTGTAATTGACAAAATGACAAAATGCAATATTCTAGCAACAACCAAAAATCAGAAAAGAGGCAACTGGTATAAATGAGAGTGTCTATGATGCTGATGTTCCCTTTAGGGACCTGTTAACGAGTCACATGTTCATATCTGGATAGACTAACAACTAGTCACTGAAATGAACATATTTTACAGAAAAAAGGCTCATAGTGAAAAAAAATATCAAAATATAATAAAAAGGAGCCCTGAGACTTTCTTCATTTTCAGAAGCTGAAGCTGTGGAAATCTAGACTTGCCACATTTTCTAGACTTGCGTGGGATTTTTTTGATATATTTGCTTCAGGGTCTGCATGACAGACTATATCTGGAGAACATCCTGACATTTTTGGGTCAATCTGGTGGCTTACACAAATGAAAAATGGGAGACTGAAATGCTTTCCCAGGAAGGTAACACTGACTGACTGACTGAGTTTAGTTTTACGCCGCTTTTAGCAATATTCCAGCAATATCACGGCGGGGGACACCAGAAATGGGCTTAACACATTGTGCCCATGTGGGGAATCGAACCCGGGCCTTCGGCGTGACGAGCCAACGCTTTAACCACTAGGCTACCCCACCGCCCCCGGAAGGTAACACAACAACTGTGATCAAAAAAAATGAAAAGAAAAGTCAATACAGGATAAAGATACACTGTGTGATAACAGCATAATCTGAAGCTTTGGGGTTGACAATTTGTTTTAAGGTTGTCTCAAAACTGAAACCACAGACCAAACAAACATTTACTCAAAGACAGAAATTAACCAATAAGAAAATATAGTAATTTTTTATGCCTGGCCGTCTCAAATGCATTTTCTAAAAAGGCATGACACAGTGACAATAGATTCCTTCTTCAATGACATACTCCAAACTGGCATATATCAAAATGGTCATCAAACAAGATGAGGTATGTTACTGAGCCAGACACTTTGCTACAGAAACACTTTCAGTTACAGCTTTGTAAACTACAGTACCTAAACTGGGACCTCTTCATCTATAGAAAAGCATACGACACTAATATACCACATAACTGCAAAATTCAATTCAAATTTTTTAAGCACACAAACAGCAAGAGTGAGCGAGTAAGTGTTTACGCCACACTCAGCAATATTCCAGTGGTCTGTAAATAATCGAGTCTGGACCAGACAATCCAGTGATCAACAGCATGAGTATCAATCTACACAATTGGGAACTGATGACATGTGTCAACCAAGTCAGCGAGCCTGACCACCCGATCCCGTTAGTCGCCTCTTACAAGCATGGGTTTCTGAAGGCTCATTCTAACCCAGACCTTCACGGGTACAAACAGCAAGAGAGAACTAGTGTTGCAGATTGCAATATTAGCCACTTGTCCACAAGCCAATCCTGTATGGTCACTTCATCCCACATTACAATAATATGTGTTTAACACAACACAAAATCTTGATGATGCTAAAAGTTTGGACTAGCAAAATCATGCATGTTGAAAGTATGATTTTACGTCGCTTTTAGAAATATTCCAGTAATATCATGACTGTGGACGCAGGAAATGAGCTTCACACATTGTAACATGTTACATTTGGGATTACACTTTCTTGGTGAAGTAGAAATTCTAGTACTTTTTGTTGGGTTGAGTTCCATCCGGGATTCTAACACACTCAGAGTCAGGCACCTAATCGCCAGCACACAAAGTCAGCCATCTAACCCACTCAGCCACCCCAGCTTCCGCTAAGTCAGAAACTGGTAGTCTCGGCCATGGACTTCACTACCCATCTGATAAGTTTAAAATGACATGGCTCCTACAGCTGTTCATGTGTTCACACATTGTACCCATGTGGGGGAGCTGAAACTGGGCTTTCAGCATGACAAGACAGACTCTTCAACTATTAAGCTACCTCAATGCCCACGTGTGTTAAACACAAATATCGGTCCTAAAAGTACCACCTGTTCACACAACTCAATTCCTGTAATTACGTAAAGATATTTCCTATTGTCATGAAAACTGCATATCAACAGCAATATAGCAAGCATTTAATACCAGAACATAAACTTATTACCAGAATCTGTGTTTTTTTTTCATTGACACAAAATGCATCTGCTCCTGGCTTGAAAATACATCATAATTGGCCATCTGGGGAGTGTACATTGCACGTATAGTACAACTTTTAAATATCGTTCATATTTAGCATGAAATTTCATAATTGCAGTTCTATAGAATTAATGGTATACATATAGCATCTGTTTGATTGGCATTTTAGATGTTGATGAATAACAAGAAAGGTAGGCCACATATATACACACACTAATCTAAATTACACAATAAATGTCACAGTCCAGAAAAACTACCAAATCGTCATGAGGCCCCTGTTTTCTGTCAGACCAGCCTCTTTAACATGTGTGACTTTTGGAACCTATCTGGCACATGATTCATTTATTAAATCTATCACTTTTCACAACGTTTCTTTACAATTCACCATATTTTATGAACAGATTTAAAATTAGAAACTTTCTTCCGCAATGTTAATGAAAAAAAACAATTCTTGGACACATGCTTCAGCTTCAGGTCCACATCTAAATCAAAGAGCATAATAATGATGTTTCTGGAAAATGATTAAATAAAGTAATGAATAAAATCTTAAAACGCACTTGTAAACTTCCTAATTCCATCTTTTCATGCGATTTTGTAATATCAGTAAAGTGACATTGACTTTTGTTGTCCCTGATCTTCACGCTTGAACATGAATAATACCTGTGAATATACTTGCATAATTTTTGGTCACAGGTCACACCCTAGCACTTTACATCCATACTGTTCCATATCTGACATATAGTTGGCAATTCCTTGCTTTCAAAGTTCAGAAAATGATTTTACCACAAACTGTCATCTAAATGTCAAAGTTATAATACACAACGATGGTATCCATAGCTGTGATATGGTAATCATTACTACAGATTACATCGAAAAGCATCATTAGAAACCAATTTTTTATCAAATAAAAATGCTTGTTGAAAAGGAAAAGTGTTGATCCTATCAAGGTAGCTGTAACATTATTGATGTTCAGAGCTTTCAACCAATACCAAACATCAAATGAGTTTTCATGCGTGTTATGTATATGAAGTTTTGAATTTAAGGTAATTCTCAGTGTCCGTTACAAAGCAGAAAACTGCTGTTACCAGCCAGCAAAATAGACAACCATACATACTATTTGTAAAATCTTTTAAAAATAATTATCTGATTATGTAACCCCTAAAATATAAAAGAAATAGTTAAGAGTATAATGTTTTATCTTACCACTGTCAAACAATCCCCATAATTTTTGCTTCCACTGGTCGTGATGGAAGTGTAACAGTATATCCTTAGTAAAAATTAACCTACTTCAGATTAACTGTAATTTTCTAATGTCTTAAAAATATCTATCATATCTGTTGATGGTAGGAGTAGACCTATCAAATGATGTATGACATGTTGTAGTTATGTTTTACAAGCTGATATTTTCCTTGATAAATGTTGGTTTCATATATCCCCTCAGTCTCGGGTACTCGGTGTCATGGCACTAAAAGCTTCTGGTATACTGACGCTAAAAGAGTGAGTGAGTTTAGTTTTACGCCGCACTCAGCAATATTCCAACTATATGGCAGCAGTCTGTAAGTAATTGAGTCTGGACCAGACAATCCAGTGATCAATAGTGTTGGGAATTGGTCAAAATCTCATAATTAATGATTGGTTCATTACTACCGATCAATCGAAAATAATTGGTTAGCATAGTTTATGAAATTTGTTAATGCACATAACAATAAGGAAAAAAACATGTAGTTCTTTTGGGGGTTTTAGGCAAAATTTCACATCTTTAAAGGATGACTAGTATGTTAGGAACATAAATTCTTTAAGAATCTTTAAGATAAATTCAATCATGACTTGAAACCAGCTTGTATTGCTTACGAAATGTAACATCCAAAACCAACCATGTATAAAATATTGTTAATGAAAACAAGTGTTCCAGAATTGTTTGTGTTCGGTTATGAGAAATTATGATGGATTACTTGGTCGTTTAGTCACTACGACCAATCTTCGACTATTTCAATTAATCGGACCACAACTAGTGATCAACAGCATGAGCATCGACCTCTGCAATTGGGAACCAATGACATGCATCAACCAAGTCAGTGGGTGTTGAAAGAGTTAATACAGGGTTAAAAAAATACTAATCAGCATATCAGAGGCCAGTAAAATTTAGAAAGACGATCCCTGAGGCATGAACAATGAGGCATGACCATGAACGATATTTCCATACATTCCTTTCTGCATATCTTGCTTTGATAAATAATAAACAGATTCAAGAAGAAAACAATCTTTAACATAATTCTTGGCACATAACTGGCAGCAAATATTGATTTAATTTACTCACAGATACAGCCTGATTCACAAAAGTGATTGGTACAAGCTCTGAAGCATACCATAAAGAGCAGTTTTTCAACAAATTCGTCAAGAGTGTGACAAGATATAAGTCATAATTATT